ACACCATTTTAGGGGTGACACCCGATTGAAAAATTGCATATTTACATAGCACACAGTTCTCGGTCTAACCGAGATTCATAAAAGGATAAACAATCACACATACATTTTTCACAAATGTAACCAATCCAAATGCGTGCTTTATTAAAAGTTCAAGATTGATGCTTCAGAAATGTGATGACCCCATGTTTAGGTCAGAAAAACACAGTCATAATTCCATGCCGTTTAAAGTGTTCGGTAACTTCCTAAGATGGCTTTCCATTGATACCAAATAAGTGTGGTCGGGCGGTTATAATAAGTATAAAAATTTGTAAAAATTAAAAACATTAAAAATGAATATTAACCATTGATAGGGTTAAAAAATATATTATTTTACACAATTTTCAATTTTTTAATGATTAATTCTTTTTTAATTTAAGTTTAAATAAAGAAAAGTTTTTTGAAGACACATATAATATTATTTATCGAAACCCAAAAGGTATCTTACCTTTCACCAGAAACCCAAAATGAATTTATAAGAGTCCTTGCAAATCATGTGAAGGAGATTCTTATCATGGATATAAAGCCTGCGAGGTATTTTGGAATTATGTTCGAAAGTACACCTGATATATCACACAGTTACCAGATTTTTGTAGTGATCAGATATGTGATAATCTACAGTGAGAAAGTTGAAGTGAGAGAAGTGTTTCTTGCATTTCCCCCGTTAAGATTGAAAAAAAGCTGATGACCTCAGTTCTGACATTATTACAAACTAAAGCGTGATGGACTAGACATACTGATGTTCAGAGCTCAGGGTTAAGATGATGCTGCCCTAATGTATGGAATCCATGTAGGTGTTCAAGCCATTCGGAAAATAAATAATAAGAAAGCAATTTTTAATGGATGTGTTGGCCATTCACTTAACTTGTGTGGTCAACACTCTTTTGCAGAACATGCTTCATGTATTACATTATTGGGTACGTTTATCTGCTACCTTTAACTTTGGGCTGATCTACTTGAGGAAGTTAATCTTACACAGCACTATCTGCAGATGTAAGGGATTACTCTTGACAAAGTTTTGACAAACCTAGAGACCTTAGATTGTTTCTGCACGAGAAGCGTCGTCACTTGGTGGAATATGCTATTGAAAAGGCACTTGAAAATCAGACCAATATGGAATTTCGGTAGATAGAAGATGAAGGTTTAAGAAGAGAATGGGAGGAGAAATTAAATATTAATCAATAGATGCTGAACTCTTTCTGGGAGAAGAAAACGGTAGGGAGATGCTGGAGTGTATAGATCGCTTTCATTCTGAACTCCACATCAGATCATCAGTAATCAAGGAAGTACCAGAATGATATGTTTGGGTCTGTTCAACCCAGGAGTCTAGTATCAGCAAGTGAAGAAGAGTTATTGGTGTCCGTTCCAAAATTAACTTCTTTCAATGATGAGCTATCAGAAGATGAACTTTAAAAAGAAATATCAAGGCTTAGTAGACATCTAAAAGCAGCTGATTTCTCAAAGTCATAGACTGGTCAGTATTTTATGTTTTGAAATTCAAAGCTGAATGGGACTTCATAGAATCTCTTCCAATACTCTCACTAAGCCTTTAATTTTTCTCACGATATGTGTGTATGTGGCTTCATGTGAGCGGAGCTTTTCAAAACTAAGGCTTATCAAGAAATATTTATGATCGACCATGTGACAGTCAAGGTTTTCTGATGTGGCTCTGCTATCAGTTGAAAGTCATACAGTGAAAAACATTGATTTTGATCAAGTGATTGACAGATTTGCAGCTTTGAAGACAAGGAAAATTTTAAATTGTAAATTTAAAGTAAATACAGCTATAACTTAACGTTTTTTAATATATTAACTTCATGACCTTCGATTTATTTGTTTTTGTTCTTGTTATTGTTATATTGTGGACTTATTTTAACAAGGAAAAAAAAAAAACCCTCCCGGGAATTGGGGGGGGGGGGGTGACACCATGAGTTTACCGCACCGGGTGACACCAATCCTAGCTACGCCACTGGTCCATGGCTCTCTCAGACAAAAAGGTTCCCGACCCCTGCTGTATAACGTAAAAAAATGTTTTCTAAACTGTTGGCTGCTGGAGAATAAGTTGACAATTCAGCAATCCAAACTGGACTCTGGCTAATGTTGCCCAGTGACAGTTCGCCGTACTAATATATGTCTGGAACTGAAAGCATAGGGCCTCTTCTTTGAACACCTCTTATAATTGTAGAGGTCAAAGGTTCAACGTGTATTTATCTCATATCTAAATACATAATATGGTAATTAAATAATTATAGAATTTCTTCTCTTCCTTTAAGTGAGTAGGGCCTATGTGCCCACGTTCTTCGGGGGCACTCTGTAGGGGCCTGCATGAGTAAACACTTAAAAATATACTAAATATTTTTTTTAGATGTAACCACTAGAATTATTCTATTTTTTAAATACAAAAAAAAAAAAAAAAAGATTAAAAAAAAAAAAAAAAAAAAAAAAATTAAAAAAAAAAAAGAAAAGAACGATACAAACTAAACTAAAATGCACCTCTAATACAAGTCATAGTTATATTTTTCTTCCCCAAATATGCCAGTAATGCCAAGATCAATGAACTCTTTATAAATTGAATGCTTCCACTTAAAAAAAGTAATGATATGTGTAGTTTTAGAGTTAAAAATATAATTCAAATACAGTACATATTATATTCATTCAATTTTGTTATTGCTAAAGGAGTGATTAAAATTGATTTTTTTTCTTTACAATTCAATTTACTGTCGATTTAATTTAGAATTTTTGTTTTAGAAAGTCTGGCATATCCGTTTACAACTGCTTCCTTTTTGTAACTTCCGGCCGAAGGTAATGTCGATTATTAGACAGTTTCTGTACAAAATACTTGTTAAAAATCTTTTAACATCGTTGATAAAAATAATTTCGTTGTATAATTAAACTTTCATTAGATTAAAAAAAAAAACAATGACATTGAATTTCATTATAGACATTCAATATATTTGCATCTTCAATCATCTGAAGTATTTAAAAATGCATCTGCTTATTATTTTATTTAATGTTGTGGCAGTGGATAAAAAATATTTTGTCTAAATTTTCTTTCAACACTTTTGTATCTGAAATATATATGCTATTCTTACAGAAAATGGGCCGAGTTATTCGCTCTCAGCGTAAAGGTCCAGGGTCTGTTTTCAAGGCCCACACGAAAAATAGGAAAGGAAAAGCTGCACTAAGAGCTGTAGATTTTGCTGAAAGACATGGATACATTAAAGGTGTCATTCGTGTAAGTTATCAGCTGCTGGTTTTGTTTTATTAATTTTTATGGTACACAGTTTGCATCACATTGTACTGAAATTCTAGATATTCTTTAGATATATTTTACATTAATGCTTAATTCACATTATCTATAAAATGCAGGTTCTGTTTTTGACGAAAAGAACGGGAAAGTTATCATTATCTTCGTGTTCAGGGCCAATTGTTGAACATTTCACCCTTAGCCTTAAGTGCTAAAATCGGAAAAGGAAAGAGAGAATGTGCTGTTAAAGGTGTAATTTCGGCCAGTAGGCTACATTTATTTTTGCAGTGAACGTAGACATAATGTCAACAACCTGTGGTCGCTCCCTTTCCTGGTGTAATTTCAGCCGATTCGTGCCCTTAACTAAAACATGAGTGCAAAGTTGGGTAGAGCGACCTACATAATATACTACCGAATTACAATCATGGCATCTCGTAAAACACATAGCCCTGTCATGCCCTATGAAATTTGGCACACTTGCAGATCAATATATACCTGAGTGTCATATGTTGAGTTAGGTTTGCAGTTTATTAGACTTTTTCTCCTTTATTGGCTACTACTTTTCATCATGTCAGCTGTTTTTGAAATCGCTGAAGATAATTATCATGAATCAATACCTAGTTGGTAGTGGATCTATTTTGAAAGAAGACATTACGATTAACAATTATTAAATTATTACCATGGAATCTCATCTGTATCACCATTTTCTCACCTCTTAGGACATAGTTCATGATCCTGGCCGTGGTGCTCCTCTGGCAAAGGTACAGTTTCGTGATCCATACAAATATCGTATGCTCACTGAGACCTTCATTGCTGCCGAAGGGATGCATACTGGACAGTTCATTTACTGTGGTAAAAAAGGTAAGCCGGTGTGGGGTGAAAAAACATACTCAGTTGTACTGTACATAACTCACTCACAGTGTAGTCAACTGGTATTGCAAAATTGCATTTTTGGTGTTACTACTGTGAAACATTGACCTCAGGTTTTGACTTGGAATTTTCTTTGTTGTTTTGACTTTGATATCCTTTACTCATGCCTTTGGTAGCCCTTGAGAGTAGCCTCTAGCTTTGTGGTTTTTGGCTTAGTATTTTGGGCAAACAATTTTTTAAAAGTAATTTTAAGTTTGTGTGTTACTTTGTGCTACACTTGAGTAATGAAAAAAAAAATTTTTTAGCATCTTTGCAGATTGGCAACATTCTCCCCGTTGGTATGATGCCCGAGGGTACCATTGTTTGCTGTCTTGAGGAGAAAAGTGGAGATCGTGGAAAGTTAGCCCGCACATCTGGCAACTATGCCACTGTTATTTCCCACAACCCTGAAACAAAGAAAACCAGAGTAAAACTGCCATCTGGTTCCAAGAAAGTTGTTTTTTCTGCAAACAGAGCAATGATTGGTTAGTAGCCAGTAAATTGTTATGGCTGGGTTTGCTTCTTGTTTCATTCCAAAATTTTCTCATCATGGTATAGAGTACTTTCAAAAGTTACTTTTGACATTTTTTGTACTTCATGAATTAAGATTTAATAGGGGAAGGCTGGATGTTAAGTAGATTTTATACGCCTTTTGTGGCTAAGAACGATGTATAATGTTAAGTTCAATCGTAATTTTTTTTTGAAATAGTAAATGTCTCCTCACAGTTAAGTCAATTGTCAATGTTCCCCTGCATTTTCAGTGTTACGACTGTGATATAGTAAACCTCTTTCTCTAGATCAGATTATCTTGTCGTTTTGATATTGATATTTTGATTATGAGGTCTTGGGGCGCCTGGATGAATATGATTGCTAAAATAAAATAGTTTATGCTTATCTTTTCAGGCACACATTATTTAATTTTCACAACCCAAGTGTAATGAAATTATGTAAATTGTAGCATATAAACGATACATTTTCTATGAATTAGGTATTGTTGCTGGAGGTGGGCGTATTGATAAGCCTATCTTGAAAGCTGGTCGTGCATACCACAAATACAAGGCAAAGAGAAATTGCTGGCCTAAAGTCAGAGGTGTTGCAATGAACGTAAGTAAAGTTTATGCAAGTTATTTAGTATTGTTTTGCTGCCAAGGATGATAAAAATTGCGCTCATCTTAAATTTATATGGTGAAAAAGCATGGCTTACCTGATGGCAACAAGCACTTAGTAATATCGCTTTAGATTTAAGCTATTGTTTTTGTTTAGATACTCCAACTGAAAATTTCTAATACATCTGACATATAGAGCATTTCGTTGATAAGAGCTGGCTTTAAGCTTTCCAATGACACCTAGATAATCCTTCTATCATTTATGGAGAAAAGTTATGAATTTTTGTGTCATTTATTTTGCCCCCCCCCCCTTTTCGCTTTGTACAGTATTTAATTTTTAAAAATGATTGCATAACTCTTTTGGTACTATTTTGCTTGTATCTTTTTGTCTATTAAAGTTAGAGCACTCATACTTGGAGGAGACATTAACAATACAATGTTTATCAAAACCAAACACATGAATTGTGAATTAACTTTTTATATTTTATAAAATTATTTTTTTAGCACACGACAACACGTCTGTCACGACAATGGTTGGAAAGTTAAATTTGACGAAATATGACAATTATTAAAATAATGAAGCTATTGCTATAAAATTTTCAATTCAAACAGATAATGTACATCTTAAAGTAAGGCAAATTTAAAATAAATGAAATGCTGATCAGAAAAATTGCAATATTATTGACAAAATATTTCATGAAAGGCAACCACGCCGGAGTATTTTAAATTTGAACTAATAACTTTTAAACTGCCGCAATTAAATTTTCAGTACAAATAGTGACAATTAAAATGTAATAGAATATTAAAATGTTACAAAGATTAATATGCTATACAAAATTAAAAAAATGTCATGTAATCTGTCGACATTGATGTGCAATTTTCACCATAACTTTTAAAATAATAATGGTGACTCAATGAAGTTTGCAGTACTGTGTCAATCTAAAATTTTCATAAAGTATTTCATTTAAAAAAAATAATTTCGAACATTTTATGTAAAAGTTAGTTGATGAAACTCCATCTGTCGACATTGCTATACAGGTACAATTTTGGCTCTACAGCTCTAGCAACACTTCATCCTCATTGATTGGTAGATTAAAAAACATCTGCATCTATTGTAAATATCAAATTGGGCTGTTGATCTCCTCCAGGTGCACACAACATAGCACAATGATGAATGATAACAATCTGTAACTCTAAAATATACAAAAAGAGATTAGGACTACTATAAGTGTTAATAACTAAGGACTAGTGGCTATCTTACTATAATTCATTGCTCTTCGCACGATGCATGTCGCTGCACTTTATTTCTTATCATTTTTAATTTATATGGCTTATTTGTATTCTTGATCCAAAGCCAGTTCATATATATGAACTATATTAGGTCACAAGTTTAATTATTAAAAACCAGTTATTAAAAGTGTATATAATTAAACTACTAAGTTGTAATACAGGTAATATTTATTTTGCTGTTTCCAAAAGGTTTTAATTAATAACCACTGTTTTTCATTAGAGATAAACTAATTCCGTTAGTTCAGGGAGAGAAAATGGCCACAGTTTGGCGGTCTTGAATTTTTAGTCACGTCGCTCAAGCTCTAAAGTTCAGTGACCAGTACCCCTTGTTTCCCCTTCAAAATATAAACTATGCCCACAAGTAATTTACAAGTCCGAACAAGATTTTTTAAAAATATGTAGCTCAGTGAGCTCACTTACCCCAACTTTCCAATTAATCGTCTCAGCAAGGTCAGAATTCCACTTAATTCATATCCTCGTAACAGGCATGCATCGCAGATTTGAATTAAAATGAGGTTCCTCTATTTTTAGAAAAGACATATCATCACAGATCTAATGAAAAGCGCCGCTCAGCAGGCAATGTAGTTATCCTCTGAAAGAATAGCTGTTCAGGTTTTAGCGTTGATGCAAAAAGTGATGTTCAGATAAGACAATTTTTAGTCAGATTTATGTTTGGTGTGGGTTATTGAGTATGTGCAAGTAGGGATACATTTTTCTTAGAGACACTTTGTGTTCTTTGTTCTTTAGAATGGGTTGTATTTCCATTTTGAAGCCTAATCATTACCTGTTTTATGATTATAACTTGCCAAGGATGATAAAAATTGCGCTCGTCTTATAATTATATGATGAAAAGCATGGCTTACCTGACGGCAACGAGCACTTTTTGGATCACTTTTTTTTTTGCTTAAGACGTCCAATTATTAAATTAGTTGACAATGCCTTTCATAGGGCAGGTGGATAAGTGAAAATTGATTTTATCAGTTTTTTTTTTTTTTTGCGCTTCACAATAATGATGCTGCACTGCTTTTGGTAACTAAGAGGACCATTTGTATTATGTAGATGTCAATGTATATTATTATTCGTGGGTTAAGGCCTGCACAAGTGCGGGCCGTAATACTTTATGAAAATCTTGTGCAGAAAATAGTAAAGGGGGGTTGGAAGCTATTGACTCATTCCCGACAGTTGCGACTAAATGCGTCCTCGGGGGGGGGGGGTTCCTCCTGATGCGTCCCGGCGCATAGCGACACACCTCGCTTATTTTTAGTTAAAAATAGCAATGAAATCTCGCACCCCTCGAGCCTTCCGGCTATGGCGTGATTTCTNTTGTTTCACTTTAAAACTACGTGTGCTTTAGTACGGCGCGTCTATATGTACCATGTGTTCGTCCGAGGTGCCGAAAATCGATTTTTTTGGCCATTGTTCGTTATTTTTCCCCCGCTAATGTTATATTTATATTAAACCTTATTCATTTTTTGTTGCATTTGTTCTTAATTCATTAACATTAAATAATATTTAGCAACTTAAACAAATATTTTAAAAATAAAAATCAATTTCAAAACTGAGTGGCTTCCCTTTTCTCAGGAAAATAAATTAAGTCCGGAAGCAGCGCTGCCGGAGGGAATGAGTTAAAATTAGCAATGCAATCTCAAGACTTCCATCTATGGCGTGATTTTAATTTAAAAACAGGAAGTTTTTATCTTGTTCCACTTTAAAACAATGCGTTTTTTAGTACGGCGTGTCTATATGTAGCATGTGTTCGTCCGAGGTGCCAAGATTTTTTGGCCATTGATCAATATTTTTTCGCCACTAATGTTATATATTTTTTTAAACCTTTTTTTTTTTTTTTTTGATGCATTCGTCCTTAATTCATTATTATTTATTAGCTTTAAAAATATTTTTAAAATGGTAATTTAATTTCAAAACTGAGTTGCTTCCCTTTTCTCAGGAAAATAAATTAAGTACGGAAGTAGCTCTGTCGGAGGGAATGAGTTAAGAAAATAATTATAATAAAGAATATTTCATTACTTCGCGGGCTACACAGTCTGTGCTGGCGGGCTGCTTTAAAAAATATTCAGATGAGGCCTATCCGCCATGTTAGTAAATAGTTGTATTCATCTTTTCAAGGTGTCTGTATAGCTTAAATGTTTTCTGGCAAGTCAATAATTCTTTTTCATTGGTACCATCTTAGCTATCCTTGTTATCATGCTAATTGAAAATGGAGTATATCACTGCCAATGATGATATAGTTGTACTCATCTGATCCTGTGATGAGAAAGCATGGCTTAACTGATGGCATTTGTTCTTCAGTTTATATATAAATTTATACCATATATTATATAAATATTTTAGCTGCTTGGCAGTCATTTGATTTTTCATCTTTCCATATTTCAGCCTGTTGAGCATCCCCATGGTGGTGGTAACCATCAACACATTGGTAAAGCATCTACTGTCAGACGTGATGCTTCTGCTGGTAAAAAGGTGAGAGTTTATTTTTCTCTTGATTAGCAGTGGGACTTTCGAGCATCTGCCTTTATTGTTGTGATGAATCAAAATATTCTTCACTTTGACCTGATTGTTATTGATGATATTTGTCTCTGAGCAATAAGGCACGTTGGGGATAATTCCTTTATTTAACCCTTTACAGTCCGATGCGCCCGAAATGCGCCTATTTTTTCCTTAAGCGTACAGTCCGATGCGGCCAAACCCGCCCGTTTCGAGGTTGTTTACTTTCGTTCTTAGCACAGGCCTTCAGGTAACGCGTAATGATAAATATCAAGATGGCCTTCTAAGCCTCGTTGTCGGCATTTATTTCGATACTAGTTTGACCGCGGTGTGTTTAGGGGCTGATTTTCTATGATTTTTTTAAAAGTCGCGATTTTTTCGCTGTAAAAAATGGCTATCTAAGCTTTGGATACACATTTGAAAGAACTTAGGCCTAATGAAGCTTCACTATTTCATGAGTGGGAGGGTCTCTGAAACTATTTTTAGGTTTAACTTTTGCTTTAATCATTTCTTTGTATTTAGGTATTTTTTATTTTATTTTGTTGCTTCTAGTTTATTTTCTGAAAATTAATTAGATAAAGAACCTTCATTTAAAATGGAGTTATGTCCCTTTGCTTGGGCGCTGGGAGTAGACAAGGCTGAATAGGTTGGACTGTAAAGGGTTAACAACGCTATGTGAATTGTCATTGTTTTGTACTTGGTTGAATCAAGACTTTAATCATGTTTTTTTTTTTGTTTCTCACCTAGGTTGGTCTTATTGCTGCTCGTCGTACCGGCAAATTGAGAGGTACCAAGCAAATTGCAAAGGATAAAGAATAATTTTAAATTCATTATAACAATAAATTATGGGACTCTGTTGAAAATTTGTTCACTGTGAATTTTTATATTTACATTGTTCCAAAATTTGTGTTTTGTTAATAGATGTTTAGGAATTTGTATTCAAACCCCATTATTTTGTAGATTGCATTTTCCGGGCAGTAGTTGTAGTAGTAGGCGGTCCAAACTGAAAATTAACTATATGGGGTACTGGAGAGATAGCAGACTATCATGGTCTGTTTCCTGTCAGAACTTTTCATTCATAAGTATTGCAAATGGCAATTTTTAAGTTAAAGGACCTACATTTTCTAAAACAATCAACAGTAGTGATTCAATTAATTAAAAAGTTTTTTAAGAAACAAGATTGCTTTAAGTGACTTAATTACATCCAGAAACACATACAGGGGCTCAAGTTATTGGGTGGAGGGCTGCAGGAGGTGGAGCTAGTGAGATTGGGCCACATCAAGTACTGGGTATTCACTAAAAACGATTACAAATTCAATCAAGTACAGCCGTTTCAATCTGCTCAACCTTCGTTAAGAACAAAAGCATTAAGGGTTCTCAGAACTAGGCCTCACCTACTTCCCCCCTACTTATAGTTGCTAGAGACCTGGCAGTCTTCTTCTTAAGCAACATTTGGCTTGAGTGAGAAAGCAGATGAGACCCTAAGTATAGCTTGTAGGTGCCCTGTTCTTGTTACTTCTTGAGTACATTCAGCTCCTGTGAAATGTTAACCAAGAAAAGCCAAGCCCATAGCCATTTGGGATCACTTAGTGCAGGAACAAACTATTTGTGAATAATTGATGGGAAGCTAAGAGGCTATTAAAGAATGAATTTTGATTTTTTAAAATTGTAGATAAGAAAGGGCCTTTTTGACTAAAACTATTTTGAAGGTTAACAAGCCAGTTAAGACAGGCTCCGAATTTTCGTCACTAGCAAAACAATAGCAGCAATTTTAATAGGGTTTCTTTGATACTGTGTCAGATTGCTACCATTTACACAATTATGGTTGTGCCTTACCCACTAACTCACTTTAAATTTGTTCAACACCCCACTTTCGCCATGTTTGTCTCATAAAATGCTATAAAATTAAAACGTTTAGTCTGATTTTAAAATGGTTTTTACCATCAAAATCAACGTCATGTCCAAACCTGTACAAACATTAAATATCAGAATTAGACTAGTCTGTGAGATTTGACTGTCACATTATATATTATATAGAAATGAGAATGGGGAAAAACATGCGGGTCGGGTCGCATTAACACTGGTACTGTCAGGTATCGGGGCTCAAAATATCGTCTTGACTTGAGGTTGAGACCACTGCAGGCAGTACAGTATGAACTAAAAAAAAGGAACTACCGGTACTCGGATTTTATAATGGCCTCAAGGTTACCGGTACCGTACGAAAATGTGATTCTAAAAATTAATATTAGTACCGGTAGCATTATACATTATAATTTAAATTATAACAATTGAATTACGGTATCGCTTAAAATTAAAACATTTTGACTTACCGGTACCGTAATATAATGTTTATGATTGAAACAATAGTCTAATGTTTTGTTGGGGATTTGATTTTATATTTAGTAAAATTGGACAGTTAAAACATTTGAGTCCAAATTATATTATTTTTAAAAGCGTATGTAGCACTATCTTAATTAATTAAAGTACTTGGTATTCAACATTCAAATAACCCATTTAAAAGCCTCTCAATTATTAACATTTCAAAATTATTTTATCTTGATGGAGGAAACTTAGGTACCGTAGGGTACACAATATAATAATTAATGTATACGATTACCGTATCGCTTAAAATTAAAACATTTTGACTTACCGGTACCGTAATATAATGTTTATGATGGAAACAATAGTCTATTGTTTTGTTGGGGATTTGATTTTATATTTAGTAAAATTAGTATGTTAAGTGGAAACTTTTTAAAAAGTAATTCTTGGACAGTTAAAACAATTGAGTCCAAATTATATTATTTTTAAAAGCGTATGTAGCACTATAATCTTAATTAATTAAAGTACTTGGTATTCAACATTCAAATAACCCATTTAAAAGCCTCTCAATTATTAACATTTCAAAATTATTTTATCTTGATGGAGGAAACTTAGGTACGGTACACAATATAATAATTAATGTATACGGTAACAATATGAAGGTAACAATATGAATAAGCCGAACTTTATTTTTAGTGGTAGTAGTAGTAGTAGTATTACTATTATTACCGGCAGTAGTATTTTTAACATTTCTTCTTTTCTTTGATTACCGTGCTTGCAGTTTGGCACTGTTAATATTCACACTGAACAATCGCACTGAGAGTTGGCTGTCACAGTTTTATGGGTTACACATGGCAGTTGACCCCTTGCACTGTTATCACATTCACAAGACGCTTCTAACGGAATACCCGTGTAGCTGGCCTTACTGGTCTCATTGGTGTTGTAAACAGAAGCAGACGGCACAACTTGATATCCGGACCCCCGTTCCCAACCTCTCCGAATTTTCCTTAGATAACCGCTCAACGGGGGGCAGCTAAATATCAGTCTTAAAACAATCACCAGCATCGGAAGCAAGATACTCAATAGAGTAATAGATTTAAAAGACTTAAGTGGCCCCGCTTTGGCCCAGCCCGGGGCCCCCATGATGCAGACGTGTCCCACTGTTGTGAGCAGGACAGCAAGGCTGAGCTTGGAGTGCACACATCGCCACTCTGACCAGTTCAAAGACTCCCCGACTGAAGGTATGGATGTCACGGCTATGACGGCCAGCAGAATGAACCCGGTGAGTCCTGCCAAGAGGGCTGCCTCCCCTTTCCACACCATCCAGGCCTGACTCACGGGCAGGACGAGGTGAGAGGAAAGGTTGGAGTTCGCGGGTACGGTGATGGTGACTTTGTGGTACCAGGAGCTGTAGTAGGTCGGTGACATCATGAGGGCCGAGGCTATGGTGTGGAAAGTGGCGAGGATGAAGCCGATGAGACCGAACTGCTTCCTGCTTTTCAGCCAGGTGTCCAGTACACGAGGAAATGGTCTGTGTTTAGTCCCGTAGTAAACTTGGCATATAGATGCAAGCTGGCCTGAAAAGTTCAAGTAGGATTTATATTAATATTAGCATATGATTGAAACTTGCATTACAACAAAACTGATCACAAAAGTATTACAAGTTTAACACCATACTTAAACTATCGTCTCTGTCAATGAGATGAAGGCGCCTCCCAGCTGACTGTTGTTGAAGTTGTAGATAATTGATATTACCGGTATAATTTTTAGCAATGAGTCTCGTCTAACCATCAATTGAATGACCCAAGGTAAAACTAAAAAGCCCAATAATGATTAAAATTTGTTTACCAGGATGTCGTTAATATCAAAATCTTACGATACACTGATTGAGACCCGTTGATCTGTATTATTCTACAGGGCTCAGGTGTATTGTATATCGGCATAAATCTACATTTATAAATATATTTATTTTCTAGCCCATACTTACACGTTTATTCTACAATAATCAACTTAATAGTATACAGTATCTATAGTGGTACCGTTACGTGAAAATATCAATACTGATAAACACATATTATGAAAAGTACCGGCAATCTACTATGTCTTACCCACGAATCTATGCAGCTGTAATTTTTTTTTTCAATGTCTTGACACTTGAGTTAAAAAAAAGACCACATGAGAATGAGTCATATGAGCGTGCCAGTGACACAGTGAATTGAGCAATTCAGCCTATATATGATATATGACGTACTTTTGTGACATATGCGGGCTAAAGAATGTTAGGGTACCATTAATTTCCATACAGCTCGAGCAGCCAAAAGCGTTTTGTCTTTTTTTAAATACATCGAGGATGTTTGAATAATGGCAAGATTTAAGGGGCAGAGTGTGCGAACCTTAGCACTGGTATTAGAACGAGTCTCAGATGTGTGTTTTGTTTGGGTGTTTAGTGATTAGTCCTATTGAAATAACGTTTGGACGTAGAGCTCGAAGGTATTTATCCAAGCGGCGCAGCTTTCAAATATCATGTTTGATTAATTCTTAAGTTATAAGTTATGGAGACAGTAAAAGACATAATGCGGCTCGCATTGTTCTTCGCAAACGCAAATTCGACTATGCTTAAACATTTCTGAAAAGAGCTGCATTGGCTGCCGGTCCGCGCTCGCGTTGAGTACAAAATTGCAACT